AGAATATTTTGATGTGTGGTGATTTTTTTAAATGTCTATTTAGGTTTAATTCATCACACGTGGAATCAAAATGCCCTTTGATTCCCAGCTACTGTAACAGTGTGTGTTTCCCGTGGCCTGCACTTTGTCAGTCTGTCACTGCTGCAGTGCTTTCATCTCCTTATCTGGAAGTCCAGCAGACCCTCTTTACACAACCATGCCATGTTTTTTTTCTCTCTTTCTCACTTTCCTTGTTGCTACCGAGTGCTGTTTGTTGTTAGTAAATAAAGGAAGTGGGAAGTTTTGACTGTCATTTTCTTGAAACATGCCTTACTGGCTGACGGGCCGAAGCCCAGCTCTACTCTCCAAAAAACGTCCCAAAAAAGACAGAATTTGTGTTGATAAGAATGAGGTGACAGTGATTTTCTCAGGACATTTAAGGTTAGCCGCTGCGTCACCGACACCTCACCACGTCACACACGTTTGGCCGTCGACCCACTGAGCAGAGTGGGACAGTTGCACAACATGTTAATTGAGATCCGTGCTGTAGCTAATGTGAGCAGCCAATACCAAGTGGACCATCTGTTAAGGATAGCAGAGGCTCATGGCGTTGAATGGAAGCTGACTGATCAGCTGACAGAACATGGGATGTCCCTGTGCTGTCACCTGACATGGGACGGCCTCGGCTCTCTCAGAGGTGTGGCCCCTGAAGGCTACAGCCCTCACGTAGGTTGGATGATTATTGTAGTTGTTTCTATAGTTTTTTTTTTTTTTTAGTTTTTTTTTAAAGTAAATCAAATGTTTTTAATCTCAGCAGTGCAGATGAAGTGAGACAGATGTGCCTGTGCTGAATTTACTGTGAAAAAGGGGGAGGGAAGTGTAAGAATGGGGGTGGGGAGACGTGCAGCCTGAGCCAATGGCTGGTGTAACCTTCACTGACTGGCCTCCTTTTACAGGCTGCTGACACGAGTGCTATATTAAAGAGATGCCACCCACAGCTGCACCTGACAATTTAAAGCACAGACTCGACCGGGGGGGACCAGGCGCTGTGGTACGCTCCAGTTGTTGCGCGGATCTCTGGTGACAGAGACATTGCTAAGGCTGTGTCACACGAGTAGACTTTCCTCCATCCAGTAGACTCGTCCTATCGACTCTGCGCTTCAGGGAGGATTGCTTTTCTGCTGTTGCCGGCTTCAAGAAAGAGAAGAATGTTAATCTTGATGGAACCACCAAAAAGATTTTCTTCTTCTATGGATTACTAGAGTAAAAAACAGACTCTGGTCTATCAGTGTCAAAAAAGAGGAAGAGGAACCAGTTGCTCGATCACTACATCAAATCATATTTTTCTTTTCTCTGTACCTCAGCACAGGTCACCAGACTGTTTTTTCTTGTAGATCAACTTTCTTCACCTAGAAATGGAGCATCTCTCACCTTAAGCCCTTACTGCACCCTCTTGTGATGCACATGTCATGGTCGGATGCAGATTTGAGTGCACACCCCACTGTGTTCCATGAAGAGGTTTGGCAGCCTGAGACGGAGCAAGAAACGGAAGGAGCAGGATGGGTTAGGAGGGAGACATCAGTCGGAGGCGTCCTGTTTGTCTGGTAATCTGTCTGCTTCATCAAACCACATAGATTTATAGATTAATTAGATCATAGATTAGGTCTGAGATTAAGGGTGAAAAAAAAAATAGAGCTCAGAGCTAGAAATGTAACTCCTGCATTCTCCATCTGGTCTGGACGTAGATCTTATATCTGAACATTATTTATACTTTCAGTGAAGACACTTTGGTGATTGATTGACCTTAATGGACTCTTTCACATAAACAGATCTACAGTATATTATGATTAGACACATGTAATCAGAGTGACTGTCGTGTGTTGTGTAGCTGTGGACGCTCCATATAGCTGTAGGTTTTGGTTACTGTACGTGCTGGGTCTCTGGTCTACAGTGACAGGAACGAGGCAAGTGGCCAAGTGGTAAAAGTGTATGAGAGGCGGAGCAGAGGCAGAGAGAGCCTGCCGTCACTTTAAGTCGCACGTCTCCATCAGTTTGATTGTTTCAGCAGCGCTGCGTGAGGATTTATCACCGCAGTCTCGTTACGTTATGAAGCCTTTCCATTATTGTAAGTTAAAAGTATAAGCTGACATTTTATCGTCGGTTTGCAGTTGATTGTCTCTGTAGGTTCTCAGTCGCCCAGGTCATTTTGTCCAAGGTGTTTAGGGAGAGGGACAAGTGGACTGTCCTGTTTTTTCCCAGTCTACACAATTACAATTTGTGTGAAGCTTTAGCTCCTACAGTCTGATCCGTGGCCTCGTTGGAGCCTCTGTGTGGTTGTTCAAGTGGTCCTTCATCGCGTCGACTTCACGGTTCCTGATTTAGAGCCAGTCTGACCTCAGAGGAGTCGCCCGCTGCTGTCGTAGTGATGCATGTCTATATGTGGCCATGTATTTGTAGAGGCCATTGTAAAAGCAGTGTACAATGTGGTGACACCTCAGCCTAAAGCATAAGCCCTTTGATGGAGATGTGGTACACTGTAAAGGTGCTAACAGTGGTGGTTACAGTGCTCACTGCACTCTGTAAGACCCCAGTGTTAGTGCTGGTCCAGTGAAGCAGGGAGACTTTGGTTCGGTGTGTTTTGTGACTGCTTATTAAATGACCCAGTTTGCACATAAGTGTAATGCACGTCAGTAATAGTGCTGTTACTGAAGTGCTAACAAGTCGGGGTTTTTTTTTTCTTTTACAAGGACCTCATGAAACTAGCCCAGATTGCTATTAAGGGTCATGTAGTTTACAGCTTACTACTTCTACTATAGCTCAGGCCTAAATAAAAGAAAACACATTCGTTTCAATGGACTTTACATTTAAAAAAATTAGAACAAAAATTCTCCAAAAAACCCAAATACGAATGGGTAAAAAAGGAGAAAAATACACGTAATGTTATGTTACTATAGTTTAAATTTGCAATACACATTACACACATTTCACAAATATTATTGAAAGCCAAGTCACCAGCAGCTGTGTTATGTGGTAAGACACAGTACTACGTACAGTGGGCCTGTACTGGTTCTTCATCTAGTGGTAAGAGAGTTAGTATTTCAAGTGAAGAATCGTGGGTTTAACAGTTGTCTCATGCATTTTTTAATGTTGACTAAATATACACTTATTAAGTGCTTACTTCGCTCATTACATTGTTTATTCTTGTTTATTTATTTTTAGATAACACTTAAAATTTTCCTGAGCAACAGAAGTTGCCGTACAACGTTCAACATTGTTCACCAGTTTGAACCTCTTGACAAAATCCCGTTTACAGGCAGCTGGAAAACCTGACAGTCTGGAGATGTCTGTGCTTTCTAGGGTTTGATTGTTATTTCTGCGAGACCACTAACATGCAGATAAGTGAGCAGCAATAATAGTATTTGTAATGCAAGAAAGCTAGTACCCACATAAAGCAAGGCATCCACTTCCCATTTCCTGGTCAGTGTCAAGCTGCCCAACCATCAACCAGGCTCAGGAGAGGACTCTCACCCGCTGTTATCTCCTCCTCTGGAATGTGCCACAACAGCGTAGCTAAATTAAGAAGACTACATGGCCGAAGCGGAGCACCCCAAAGAGGGCCAGTCCACGCCAACTAAATGTCAAGAGATAATGTGGAGAGCAGATAGACGACAACAACAACAACAACAACAAAAACGCTGGTAAAAAAGCTAGTGTTTAGAGAAGGACGTATCACATGACATTCAGAAGGAAATGTCTTTCATTTCTGTACCAGTGACTGGGTGTAATGATCTGCCAGTGCTGAACAACATAATACTGACAAAGTCTTGGCTCTGCCCTCACACCAGTGTAAACTGGTCCCACGCTGGAGGACTTGAAATGTGAACCGTTTGGTCCAGATCACTTGGTCCACTGGTTGGCTGGTCTCAGAAATATGTCAGCAGGGAGGAGCTCAGCCAGCGTGAGCGTCATGTGTCACCGTCCGTAAGACTGTGACACCTGACGTGAAAGAGAATGTGGCGGCAGAGGGGCTTGTCATGTGACGTGTCACAGGAGGAGTTGCGTCACCGACAGCTGACTGTTACACTGTCCTGGGGCTTAACGCTGCATCCTGCTGCAGGAGGAGGGGGAGGAGGGGGAGGCAGACATTAAACATCACAGGTTACCTTCACCTTCACAAACAGAGAAAAAAAAAGACATTTTCACAACACGCCGGTCAATTTGTCTTAGTAAAAATTGACCGTGGGGCCACACAGGGAGGAGGAGGAACGGGAGCTGTCAGCGGTCAGCCTTTGACTTCTGATCCCACCACTAAAAAAACCCTCCTCTTCTTGAATGACCACAGAGTTATGTAGCACATTATATTTTAGGAGGCGACCTGGTGTGACAGTCAAAGACTGTGTTTAAAACTTCTGTCTTTGAACGACATAAAACAATTAGCTCAATGATAGGTGGGAACACACGCAAGAAATACACACATACTTTTAATGTGGCAGGAACCAGGAACATATGTGAAATGTGAGAAATGAGAAATGTGCAGTCTATGGTTAAAAAAAACACAAAAAAGAAATAGTTTTACTACATTGGTTGTAGAAATAATAATAACTATAATAATAATAAGCAAGTGTTACTATTATTATTACAAAAATAATAACTTATATCATTATTATTTCTATTGTTATAATTTTCCTTCCTTTTATAACAACTCAAAGTTACTTGTTGACCTGATCAAATATTAAAGCTTCATTTTCAGCTTCTGTCTTGATGATGTTTTATGTAACATACCTCTGTCTGTCAGCAGCAGGGCTGTGGTTCAATCTCTGGTATCCGTGCTATCGCCCACGGATCTTTCAGTCCCGGCTGGATCAGATATGCGTTCCCTCTCTGTTATAGCATGTGACAGTATTCGTGGTATTCGTGGTATTTGCAGCAGTCGGTGCTGTAGCCCTTCAGTCCAGCCGACTCTACCTGTCAACTGCGTCCAGAGTTTTGATGTCAGTGGAGCTCTGCCTCAGGCCTAAAGAAACTGTCTCGTCTTTTCACAGCCTCTGGTCTCTCCACACCACCCAGCACCCCCGCACAGGTGGCCAGCCAGCCCGCCTTCCCCCAGGAGGTCCAGCCGAGCAGGCCGAGTCCTGAACGCTTGGAGACGAGCTACAGGTTGCGCTCGCTGTCTACACCTCCAGACACAGGACAGCCCTTCTGCGAAACCCCCCATCCCTTCATCAAGCCCTGTGCCAGTTTACTCTACCTCACAAGTGAGTCACAACACAAGCAGCTGTCAGTTGACAAACAAATACTGTTCCTGGTATGGACTTTATATTTGGATTTAGAGAAAACTAAACTGAAACTAAATTTGTTATTACTCGGTCACTTCACGAGTGAATGTAGGTGCGAATGTCAGTGTGAATGGTTGTTTGTCTCTATGGCCCTGCAGTTTGAAAGAGTACCCCCCCACACACACACACACACACACACACACACTCCCTTCATCCGATAATGTTGGGATTAACCATCCACCCATGACCTTGAAAAACATTAGGTGATAGAAAAAGAATGTGTTTTTCTAAAGGCTAGATATGGTTCTCTCTATTATTATATATATGGTAAATGATGCATCAGGTTAAAAAAAAGACATGGTAGTGCAATCCTCCTAATATTGAGCTTTAATACTATTGTTGCCTAAAACTGTGGTAACTAGTTTTAGTTCATGAGTTCAGTGGTTCCTGAATTTGACTTTTTTTATGCTGCATACTGTACATCTATTTAATCTTGATTCATATTCATCATCACTCAGCATCAAGTGTTAATGCAACCGTGTAAGATTGTGTGTGGTGTTCTTAATCATAATTTTTAAAAGACTTAATTAGTTCAAAAATATTTTATTTTAACTAAGCGTTGACTTAGTCAGGAGATAAAGTCCTCGTCGCGAGACCGATTTAACCGGGTGTCTTCTGAGGATTGGCGTGAGTCAGAATGAAACTCCAGATTACTTATGATGTCATGACTTGCGGCAGGGATTTAATGAATAAAACTCGAAGCCTCTGTCTCCACCTGTCTGCTGTGAGTGATGGTGTTTTCTGGCCTGAGGAGCAGATCGATATTTCATCACCACGGTCGTGTATTGATATCACCGTCCCAGAGATGATTGTGGCTGAGCGGCGATGATGAGTCAGCACCCACTCGTCACACTCCTCCTCCTCCTCCTCCTCCTCCTCCTCCCTCATGTGTAATAACGATTGTCGTTGTCAGGTGACGTTACGTCTCGGGCAAAAATACAATTTCGCCACAGATTTACTAGTTTCTTTGCTGGACATTTCCTGTGCGAGACTGAAGCAGAGTGTTTGCCCGCGGCGGTGCAGCAGGGCTTGATTTATGAAAGTGCAGGAGCAGTTTTTGGCAAGAGAAGTGCTGTGTCACCATTGCAGGGGCAACGCTGGGGACTATTTTAACAGCCCACAGCAGCTCTGCAGACCTGCTCACCCTGCACTGCTGCAGTGGTCGAGCTGTGATTATACTCAGGCCGAGGGAAATCATGAATCAGTGAGAAGCACACTGGAGGTAGACTGAGTGTAAAACTCTCAACAAAACACGGCACAAGCGGATGGCGCTGTGAGTTTTGCTGCACTACACTGGGAAAAGACGAGGTAGCTTGTGTTTGCGAACGCTGGCCAGAAAAAGGAAACAGATAATGTAAGAGAGTTGAATCTGATGGATATTTGTATAGAACACAGTTTGACATCATTTGAGGGACTTGATGTGCTGATCGCCCTGCACTGGGAGTGATGGATTTTCCAGTATTCTTTTTATAGACTTTATTTTTGAATGTAATTGTATTATGTCTTGAAATCCTTAAAATATTAATTTTATATTTGTACTGATAGTTTTCTAGTTGTCACAGTCCACTGCAGCACGTTTATGCAGTACCACTCCCCTTTGTTCTAATGAATTCTAACCCAAACTAAAATATTAGGCCATCTCTTAAAAAGTATATTTACTTTTGATTATTTGCATGTTCTCTACACTACGTATCCTACATTTATTCCTAAAAGATTCCACGGGTGGACCAGGTCACAACCTGTTTCTTTGCATTATCGCTGGGCTAACATCGAGTTCAAACTTTCTTCTAGTTTGGGCAAAGACCAATTTATAATATTTTTAAAACATGTTTGGTTAGTCATGCATATCCAGTGTGGTATTAAAATGAGTCATAATCGTGTTGAGGTTAAAAATGTGTTAAACATTATAATTTTCACCACTCTACAAAGATACTGTGACGACTGTCAGTTTAAACATCAGACACTTAACTGAAATAATATGATCAGTTTTATTTGAAACTGATGATAGTGTTTATCCCAGTCTTGTGATCTTAACAAAGTTAAACATTGCAAAACAAACAAACAAAAATCCGACTCTGCTGCAGCGCCATTTCACCCCGGATTAATTAAGTTATTATACACATTTCTACCACTCGACTTCAGTTCGGTATTAACTGGTGTTGATTTGACTTTACAGTCATGTTTTAGTCAGGATGTTAACGAGGTATCCCCAGCTTCTTGTTGCTTAGCAACGCAGGGGATTTCCTAATATGGAGACGCAGCCTCTGCATGCAGGGGTGTGTCCACGGTGTGAGCAGCTTCCTGCTTTCTTTCAGCCTCTCTCCACGCCAGGCTTCTCCTGAGGTGAGTGCCGTGGTTTCAGTACCGACTGTGGCGTTGACCGTGTTGTCAGTGAAGCAGCTGTCGAACCTCTGACACGGTGTGTGAGCAGCAGCGTCTGCACTCACTGGATCTGCCTCCACTGCAGTAAATGGATCAGGACTGTTCCACTCTGAGTCCAAGGGGGTGTGCGCAGTCTATTAATACCGTGCAAGTAAAGTTGCAGCTCCGCAATGCTTTGGTCCTGTTACCTGTACTGAAATCTGTCCGACTTTTGCGGATTTCGGGTCGCTGCTTCGAGCCCATGATTCGATTATTATCATTTCACCGTCTTTTTCCTCTCCTTTGACGCAGCGACCACAGTGCGCTGAGGCCGCTGGGGAAACTGTGGCTTCACCCTGCTGGTCACACACAATTCACAGCAAAGTTTTTTTTTATGTGCAGCGCAGCTGTGAGAGGATTTCAGCGCAAAGTTGAGATCTGTTTCTCTGTTATCTGTTGTCTGTCCTCTGTCCTCTCCCACAGGTCTACGGATTATCTGAAGGCATGCTGGAGAAACTTGAACTTGATGATGATGGTAGGTGTTTCTGTCTTCGTGTCCTGTGTCTCCGGTCCTTATAGAGGTTTATTATGGAGCCAGAGGTGCGGGATTAAGAGGATTATAATCCATGGTACAGGTGTTAGATTAGTATTAGAGTGTCATTCTGAGAGAATTAAGTTCACTTTTAAGCATCATCATGTCTTAAATGGACATAAATGATGATTATACCCAGAGGTCACGGCAGGTGATACATGATATTTAGATTAAACTCCTAATGAAAATCTACATTGTCTTTTGGTATTTGGTAGTAATCACGGTGTTTTATCTATTACTTTTGACTGATTGAAATGTGTGTAATATATAAAAGAAAGTCATTTAACTTATGCTATTTTTGACATGTCGTTTTGAGTATTTTTACTTTTATGTTCAGTCTGAGATCAGATTTTCAACTCCAAGTTTTCTTTTAGCATTTTAGGGTGTTGTTTTGCTGATGTGTTCATGTTCAAAATGACACTGAATATTGACAAAAAACTGATAGCTAATGCTTTTTAAATATATATTTCACATGTAGTCCATTTTTTCCTTCATTATCCAAGTTCCTCACCAACAAACATATCCTGCAAAAAAAAAAAAAAAAAACAACTGAAAGGATGCTGAGAGGATCAGGTTGGTTTTGTCTTGTGCTGTACAACCCAAAATCTCTCCACATTCTTCCAGAGTTTCCTGCTTCAGCGTGGTGTTTCAAAGTCATTTCCTAATTATCATCATTTTTATTATTGTGTAATTAATGTTGCCCGTCAGTTTAATCTGACATGTCAAACAGAGAGTCCGCCTTGGACACATTTCGATGAGATTTCTGATTAAATCCTGTAAATAAACTAATCTGCTCAGTGTTTGTGGGAAAGGAATTATCCTAATGTTCTTAGTCCTTCAGCCAAGCTTTCACTGAGTTTTTTCCACCTGCTCCTGTGTTGGGAGTGGATCATAATTATCAGTAACATGGAACAGTAAAGTGGCAGTAAGTGGTTCAGAGCAGTAATGGTTGTTTAGGCTGTGAGAGTGTTTTGTTTGTAGCCTGTCATTACATATTCCCAGTGAGAGTTCCTCTTCCTCTTCAAGTATTTTCCTCTCTCTTCTTTTTGTCTTCCAGCTGCTGAAACTGAGAGCGATATTTACACGCGCTTTATGAAATCCCACAAGTGCTACGACATTGTCCCGACGAGCTCTAAGCTGGTGGTGTTCGACACAGCGCTCCAAGTTAGTACTGATGCGTGCACGACAATCAGTGTGTCCATTTGTTAAGAGAGTGACGTACACAGTAAAGCCTGATTATAAAAAAAATTAAAAAATTAAAACTAAAATCACAATTACCATGAACTGCTTCACGGCAAAATACAACAGAATGTTGACAGTGTGTGATCTAAAGGTCACCTGTCTGGAAAACTGAGGGTTAATGTTTAAAAGAAGGATAATTGCGTCTTCAATGACTGATGGGATTGTCATAAAGTCGTTGAATAGTAAACGTTTGCCGGCTCCAGTTCTTTGATATGTAAAACTTCAACCACTAAATATACCTGAGCTGAGACACGGAGGCAGTACAAATTTAAAATACATTCAAGGAATTCCATGTTTTGGTAAACGGCCAGTGCAGAAGTCACAATGCTCAGGCTGGAATGTTACAGGCTTAAAAAACTTTGAATAATGAAGTACTTTGTATTATTAAACAAATAATAAATATATTTATTTTTTTATTGTTATTATTATTTTTTAACCTTCAGGTCAAGAAAGCGTTCTTCGCCCTGGTAGCAAATGGTGTACGAGCTGCACCACTATGGGACACAGAGAAGCAAAGCTTTGTGGGTAAGAATGACAGAACATTTTCCAGAACTTTATTTGTTTTATGGGTATCTTAAAATTGGCAATGTGTACTATTTCAAGAGGGGCTGGTGGCGCAGTGTCTGTGAGGACTTCCACTGATACTTCTCTAAAACAAATAAGCAAAGTACTGCGTTTAAAAGGATGAAATGATCCGGATTTTCATGTTATGTATATTTATGAATTACGTATGTTTATATATGTATGTATGTAGGTGTGCATTTATATATATATATGTACACTATTTTTGTGTACCACCTAAAATGTTTTTTGGTCCACATCGTTTGAAAAATGCACATTATTCCTGGGGCTCACTGCATAAAAAAGTCTTTTTCAGAAGACTTTACTGCTCGGTTAGTTTCCCCTCTGGAAAAAAGCGATATATTGGTGCACCTCTGCACAGGCAGCTCAGTGTGTTAATGCAGCCGGTCACGGCCAGTGGAGCGTGACACTACGTACATTGAGCAGAAATCATTATAGCTGTCATAAACCATTAAACACAGCCAGGACTCCTGAGTTGACCTGCACTCAGACAGGGTAAAAAAACCCCAAGGCCTGCGTCATGTCAGCCAAGTAACGTCAGTATCCAAACTGGCTTTGTTGTGCCGCGTCGAGTTTATTGCAAGTCAGCCTGTGATGAATAATAAATGTTGGAAGCACGGGGGAGGGAGGCAAACGTGGGCGACAGAGGGAAGAAGGGTTTTTTTGTTGTTGTTGAGCCACACCCTTCTGTGTTGTCTCTTCTGCTCAGGTATGGAGCAGCTTGTTGATTCACTGTTTGTTTGTTGGTTTGTTTTTTGTTCTGTTGCA